TTGCTTGTTTCTTTTCCCTTTCTGGAAATAGGAGGGCACAGGAAGGGGGAGATGGCGTCAAAGAGGATTCAGAAGGAGCTCAAGGATCTGCAGAAGGACCCTCCCACCTCGTGCAGTGCAGGTCCTACTGCTTTCTTTCTTGCCTGCTCTTCTGTGGATTTTTGCATTTTGAGCCATACCCCTGTGTGTGTAGGTGTCAGATTTGTGCACATGCTTCTGAACAGGCCTCTTTCACATCCTCACATGCTTGCCTGCTTTGGTAGAAGTAGAACTGTACCAGCAAATTTCTAGACGAGCCAGCCTGATAACCCTTGTGTTGGGTCAGTGCTTGAGAGGTGGGGTAGATATGAGATGAGATGTTATGACAGTTGTTACATGGAAATGAATTGGTTCCATTCTCACTTTTAGGTAGTACGATGAATGGTCGTTGACGATCTGCAGGGCTTGGCCTTTTACTATGCTGTGCAAATCTTTTTTATGGTTTTACCTTTCTCTCAAAGGAACGGGATTAATTAGCAACTTTAGATTTATATGTCACATGCTTAGTTTTCCTGCCAAAAATGGGAAGATGAGGGTGATATACAGATATGTCAAACTGTTTCATTTCTCCATCGGGTAACTGATGTAACGAGGTAGTTAGCAACATAAACACAAACATTGAAGGAATATTATAATTACACTGAGGAACAGCTAGCATGTAGGACTCGTCCTTTTCATGCTTCCTATTGGTGTTAGTGTTATTACATAACTAGAATAAATTGTTCATAAAACTATATAAAAGTTGTTCAGAAAACGATATATATTCTGGGGCATAATTTTTGGAACACATCAAGTTACATGAATGAACTATTTTCTAGTTCAACACATGATTCAACAATGTGAGGTAGAATGATGACAGAGCAGTCTTCACTGAAAAAATGATTAGCATGTCTTATTTATGGATAAAAACTATCTGTTTCCATTGAGCTCAGTTTTCATGTTTAAACTAGCTATACCCATGCCATTTTCTGTAGGTGACATGTCAGTCCTTTTTTTAAGTAGACATGTCAGTCATTAGTTTTTTTTTCCAAAAAGTATAAAGTGTTAGTATATCATTTTCTGGAATCCTAGTTCTATTTAACTGCTCTGGGGATCAGAAAACATATCATTGTTTCTTTCACAAACATTTCAATTCATAACTTGATGTTTCAATTACACTAGTTGTTTGGCCTGTCGAGATCAGGACAGCAAACTATAACTGCAAGAACCATGGTTATCAAGTTGCTCAGTATTTTTTTTTCTTACTTTCTTGATTGTGTTGTTGAACTTGGTGATGTTGTTGATGCACCATTGCAACACCATACATACTGCTGTGTGCACATGAAGTAATAAGCTGTCAGAATTTGTTGGAGGAGGAAACTGTCCCTACAGTTTGCTTTACAAAGAGTAGACTTCGAACTAAACTTTTTTTTTCATTTTTCTCGTTCTAATAGAACCTGTGGCAAAGCTTTTACCTCCCTATCTGGGAAAAAACAAACTAAGGCCTGGCAAATATTGTCGTTCATCTTTCAGTGTTATTTGGTTTTCCTTGTTTGAAGCTCTTTTAGTTGTCTTGTCTAGTAAGTTATATTTCCTACCGAATCTGTAGTCCTAGACCACATGCTCATCAGATAAGATGGCTTCAGTCCAGTTTGTGACCTTGATTTTTCTTCACTCAAAAGTTCAATTGCGTCCCTTGGTGTTGGTGACAACATAATCTTATTTGACAGGTCCTGTTGGTGAAGATATGTTCCACTGGCAGGCAACAATAATGGGTCCATCTGATAGCCCATATTCTGGTGGAGTTTTCCTAGTTACAATCCATTTTCCTCCTGATTATCCTTTCAAACCACCAAAGGTACATCAAACGATTAAGCATTCGGGCAATGATCATTCCTTATTTTGTGCATTTTTCCTTATTATTTTTGCCATTGAATTTGTAAAATAAACATGTGCATAAGCTCATTTACTTCCTAGGAGCATTACTCTGACCTTTGCACTTGACATCTGCGGTGTTTAGTGCCTTGATAATGCATATGAGCTAATGTGCAATAGCGAATAGCTTATCGGTGAGATGCCATACCACTAAGCGCACTTGCTGAAACTCTTAAGGAGACTATCACAGTTTCATGTGCAAGCTTGAAACCTTTGAAGTCTGAAATTCATCTGCCTTACCAAATCCATATATCCTTAAAAAAATTGTTATACTCCAAATCATGTAACCCTGTATCTATGCAATACGCAGGTGGCATTCCGCACCAAGGTGTTCCATCCAAACATCAACAGCAACGGGAGCATTTGCCTTGACATCCTGAAGGATCAGTGGAGTCCGGCACTAACCATCTCCAAGGTTGGTGATTACTCTCATGGATAACATTATCTTCTCCATGGTTCAAGACTTGTAGGCTTGGGAGCTACCTACCAGCATCTCCAATCTGCTCGATTTCAGGTGCTGTTGTCCATCTGCTCCCTGCTGACTGATCCAAACCCCGACGATCCTTTGGTCCCCGAGATAGCTCACATGTACAAGACGGACCGGCACAAGTACGAGAACACCGCGAGGACCTGGACCCAGAGGTACGCCATGTAGTAGTACCTACCTGGCCTTTGGGTTTGGGGGTCGAAGGAATCGTCGCTGCTGCTGCGTTGTGTTTCTGGACCTGGACGTGTCTCCACGTATTCGATCTGTCCTGTATAATGATGAATCAAATTGGGTTTGCAGTACAGTGCACCGTGTGGTGCTGAATGCTGCTGTATTGTGTCACTTGGAAGCTGTAATTCTGAATGTCAAAAACTGGTGCTTGGAACCGTTTTGCGTCGGATGATGCTGCAGGCGAGTCCATGTTTGCGTCCTTTTCCCTTCACCAGTCATCGTGTTGGAAGAAAGGGGCGATCCGGACCCGGTGGTTCCGTTTTTTACTTTGAGACAGCCAGTCAGGCATTTCGTCTCACTAACAAATGAGCGTTAAAAAAAAGAGTCTTCGCAAATATCTTAATTTTTTTTCTTCAACTCCTATATCTCTTCATACTTGCAGGCAGTAGCAGCAGAGAAGAGATTTGGTTCGTCAAGGCCATGGACCTCCTCCACGTCTGTGACTGTAAGTGTGTAACCAGATAATCTGGGCCGGTCACTAGAGGTCCATAATGGAGAAGCAAAAGCCTAATAACGGCCCCATCGCGCAGCGGCCTGTGAGCAGTCTTGGACTGGCGGGTGAGTGGGCGGCGTTCCTTCGGACTTCGGAGAGGTAGAACCTCGAGGACCCGCCGCGGCGGCAGTCAGCAAGTTGCTTGCCAGCTTGGGCCTTGGGAGCTGGAGAGTTTGAGGCTTGGAGCCTGCCCCGGATCTTGGAATCTCTTGACTCGTCCATTGGGCGAGCAAGATGCGTATGATCTGCACTGCAACCCCGACTCCCGTTCTTCAGTTTCTGCTGCTGCTGCTGCTGCTTATACAAAACAAAAGCTCTGCTCGTGCTCCTCGCACTCAAGATTTTTGCCCACCTCACATACTACAAATCCTATCCTTGGGAAAAGCTCTGCTCGTGCTCCCGCGCACTTCAAGAAAAAAGTTTTTTTGCCCACCTCATCATAATTAAGAAGAAAAAGAATTTACTCACATGTTATCCTATCCTTGGGAAATCCGAAATCCATCTACTACAGACTGCAGTAGTATATACTAGACGGCGCGAACATCCGAGAAGAGTCGCGCGTAGCCGCGATCGACGTCAAGTTCCTTGCGAAAAAAGTCATCGTAAGCTCTCTTGGGCAGACTGCCGGCGGTGCAAAGCCCATCCTCCGCATGAGGAGCACCTCGCCCGCTTGAAGAAGCTGCGCCAGGGCTGAAAAAGTGGGTTGTATTTGGTGCAGTCGCAAATGAGGACTTATATGGTTATGAACTGGCTGACAACAATTTGACTACAATAACAGCAGTGATATCCAATCGATATTTATAGGAGCACGATTGGTCGCTCCAAAGTGAAAATAGAACCTATAAGTTGGCAACAGAAAGATTATTTCTGAAACTTGCGACCATTGGAAGCAGGGTGTCGTGAAAGGACATGTAGAGTGGGCTACCTATTAAACATAGTAACATGAAGACTCCTCAAAAAAAAAAAAAAAAGTAACATGGATCGCATATTTTTAGGTACCTCTCATCAATAATTTTATTTAGCAGAAGGTAGCATGGGTCATTAAGTTTTATATTTACACAGTTAGGAGAGATCTAACAATATGGATTGGACAGAGGACATGAACCTATGAAACTATTGAGTTGAAGGAATAGCATGATATTAACCTTAAGCTTTGTCTATATCATCCTCAAGCGAAAGGTCATGGAGAGAGCTATGGTAGCAATGGAGCAATGCTTCTGATTTACGAATCCTCCAACATATAAGGCTTACGATTTTTATAGGCTTCTCCAGTTGGCACAACATTTACTTATCGGCTTCGACAAATCTGATAAAAAAAGCAGAGTGGCTGCATTAGCAACCATGCAATGGTTAGAAAGCAGATAAGAATGAACATAGGCAGTATAGAACAATTAGTGATATAGATTAGCATATTGCAAACTCGAAAGGCCTCATGACATGTAGGACATGGATATGTAGGGAGCAGAATAACGTGATTAATATAGTCCTGAAGAGAAATAGCAAAAATGGCATGGTGATAATGGTACCAGCGGACTGAGCAGGTAGAACGGTGATTGTAGATAATGAAGGCAACATGGATCAAGAGGCTGTATTTTTGGAAAACAACTAAGATTTGAAGTGTAAACATCGGTATCATTCCATTTGGTAATAAAAGTATTTATGAAAGTGTCGCTGTGGCTTTATGAATACAATCATGCATTTGGTATCTGTAATTTGTCTACACAGGTATATGCAAGGAATTACAGCAGTAGGTAGAACTAAGATTAGAAGGGAATTATATGTTTTCATACGCTCTATTCCAGGGAAAAAGGAACACATTGTGTCTAACCTGTTGCATCAAGGATTTGGATTTGAGCTGAACATGATGGAGGGCAGACCTATCAGAATAATATGAGAACTGCAGATTCCAAGTATCTGTCTTTTAGTTGCTGCTCTTTGAATGTCCACTCTCAGAACAATGTCACGACCTTTACCCATGTAGTCATGAATCTAGATGGAAAAAGTAACATGTATGAGAACTTTATGCAGGGTGACGACATCTTCAGTTTTGGCAAAAAAAAAAAAAAACTTGTTCAGACCTTTTCTAGAATTTTAGACCCAAAATACAGACACAAATTCTTGGGCTCCACTATGTAGGCAGACTGCGTTTATTCCATTGTGATTTTTAACACAAAATACACAATTATCATTTCATTTTAGGAGAACTATGAATTAGTAATTTAGTATCAATAGATATTAGCAGATTCTTTCAATCAAGTCAATGTAAAGGGGAATTGAGTAAACAACACATAGCACTACAGAATGCTAGAGACATTGAAGCTTGAAAGTCAGTAAGCAACATTTTTCCACAAATCCATAGAATTAAAGCAATACTCCATAAGATGTTGGAAAGCTGTGTACTTATCCTACTGGAACCGAACAATATACCTTCTTGGAACAGAGGCTTCATCATGCTTCCTGTCAGCTGTAGCAGTAGGAGAAGCGTTCCTCAGCATTGGTTGAACCGACGTTGCAAAGAAATGTCAGTGAACAATGAGCACAAAGAAACTCATAGGAGCAAAAGGGAAATATCCATTTATTTTCTGCAGTGAAAGCATGAAAACTCACCGTTTTTGGTCCTGGAAGCTGCAAACAGTCTCCGCCTGGTGCGCCTAAAATCGGCGGGTTGCTCAAATTGAAGGGGAATGGAACTCTCGCAAGCTGCAGGCACGAACACGAAAGAATTTTAAATATGCTTAGGTGTAGTGATAAATCTGATCACTACTCCTTGTGTGTGCGTTTCATCAGCAGCAGCGACTGAGTTCAATTGTAAAGTACGCATCGAAAATATCCTGATTTATCCATACCTTGATGATAGATATGCAGGTCGTGGCCATTCATGGACCTGCAATTAAAACATCCACGATCCTGCAGCTAAAAGGTAGTGAACATCATACCGTGAATTTGACATTCTGTTGAGCACATTACATGCAGCGGCCACCAAGAACTGGAGAGGAAGCATACCAGGAGTCGTGTCTCTTGAACGGACAGCATGTTGATGGCCGCCAGCGATGGTAATCGCGTGGGGAAATGGATCTGCGGCCAGAGGGACCTGCCCACTGGGGATTAAAAGCTAAACAAAATAAGAAAAGAGGCGGTGGTGAAGCTCCGGTGGGCGGCACGGCAACGGAATCGGAGGAACCGGAGATCGAGTGGAGGAGGGATACACCAGTGGGCTACATCTGCCTTCTCCGGCGAGGTCAGCAGTAGCATCGAGGGGAGGTACATCTAGCTTCTCCGGCGATGACAGCAGCAGCGTGCAGGCGAGCGCAGCCGTGGTACGGCGTGCGTGGACGCGAGGACGCTGCGTGGGGGCGGGGACGGCGGAGGTGACCGTGGCGGTGTCGCTGTCGACGGCGCGGAGCGGGGGACGGCGGGTGGACGCGAGGACGCGGCGTGGATATCCGCGGGTTTCGGGTCGCGCGGGTTCGGGTTCGGGATGATTTCTCACCCATGGTTTTCGGGTTTAGTTTTTCACCCATAGATATCCAATGGATATCCGAAATAAATTATTTAGAATTAAGGACTTGTTTAGATTGGGGTTAGGAATCAGTATTTGGCATTGTAGTACTTTCGTTTGTATTTGACAATTATTGTTCAATCATGGCCTAACTAGACTCAAAAGATTCGTTTCGTAATTTACAACCAACAACCATGCATGTGTCCAAAGATTTGATGTGATGGAGAGAGAGTGAAAAAACTTACAATCTAAACAAGGCCTAAAACTCGTGTGTTTATAACATGTTAATAATAACTTATTCACTTATATTATTAAATTTATTCTAAGTTGACTCATGAAAATATTTATTATTTGTTGTCTCTTGTTTGTACATGTGAATATGTGTATATATATCATGCATATGTTTATAGAAAATCCTTATTTCTCTTACTATGTTGCCATACAAAGCGGATTTCGGGTATCCATTCGGGTTTCGGGTATCCGCAGGTTCAGTTTTGGGGACGAATTATCACCCAAATTGATGTTCGATGCGGTTTTGGGTTTCGGGTTCGGGTGCACAGAGACTCCACCCGATCCGAATCCGCCCCGTTGCCATCCCTAGGGGGGTGGGCGGCAGGGAGGAGGATCGGACAGATTGTATGGTTGGACGTATGGATCGGACGGACGAAATAGGAAGGTGATGTGGCTGAAGGAGCAGTCGAATTTGGTATATAGCATTAAGGGAGTATGGTAGATACTAGTTTCAGCCTGTTCGCTGGTTGGTTTTTGGGCTGATAAGTCCGGCTGGTACTGGTTTGTTGTGAGAGAAAAACACTGTTGATTGCCTGAAACCAACAAGCGAACATGCTGTTTATCTCGGCTCATGAGCCATGCCACGGATACGAAACTAAGCAACATGATTTAGCGGGTCTCATGACTCGTGTGATCTGATGCCGTTCGCTGTCGCAAGCAGATCATCCTTGCTAGACTTACAGCCTGTTTGTTTGGTTGTGGCTTGTCGTAAACGATCGTAAATTTTTAGCCGGAACAATATTTTTCTCTCACACAAATCAGCCAGCAGTACTTCTTCACGAACCAGCAACGAAACGAACCAGCCAACCGAACAGGCTGTTAGAAATTAATATCCTATACTATAGGGTGATCTGGTGATGTCCGTCCTATTTGTTTAACTTATTTGGCTGATAAATCATGGCTGAAAGTATTATTGGCTGATTTGGTATAAAAGAAAAATACTATTTGTTGACTACAAAAGTACGACTTATAAGTCAAACAAAGCACGAACAGAGACGGTCCTGGTAATTTTTAGGCCTAGGACGAGGTAAGCTTTAGGGCCCTAACATGGCTAAACACACTATCGACCAAAGGAATTTTCTGTCTTTATGCAAGACAGCAAGAGACAGCGTAAAATACATAACAAAAATGAGTTGTTACCAATTGCGCTGATCATCAATATTAGTAGGCCTAAGGAATGTGGAATGTGATGGCTAGACTCCGGGCTCAAGCATATAATCTGTCAAAAAATACACTGTAAATTAAGAAAAACATATATGTTGAGATGTGGGTTCGTAGAGTTGATTACTTGGGGACTTGGGGTTGGGCTAAATTAATTTTTTTTCGGGATGTTGGGGACAATGGCAGAAGTGTGTAACCCGTGCATGTCCAGCTGGCTTTCCCTCTTTTTACTTAGTTTTGTATTTCTATGGTTTGTCTTATGAGTAGCTGATACAAAACATAATGATCGTTGGGGATACTTTGCATGTTTACGTGATGGCTGAGCCTAGCATGCAAGTACCACGAGGAGTATTCTCCTATTCGGTGATGTCATGCTCCGAATCTGAGACACCTAGTGCCGAGCCGCTGATTATGGCCACTTGGCCAGCATCATAAACGTATTTAGGGCCTGTTCGGCTGAAAAAACAACTGATGTCGATGCTGATGTTGATTTGTTATGAGAGAAAAACATTGTTATTTCGCTGAAACGGTACGACTGATAAGTTCAAGCGAACAGGGCCTAGATCCCATTGCCTTCTTATCAGCCAGACTCACTAACATTGTGAACACAAGATTGATATGCGTCCTTGTGTGTCGAGATGTAATGAGTGATTGTCAGAAGATGATCAGGCTTCGGTTCACTACAAGAATCTTGTTAATCCATGATAATTTTTTTTTGTCACGGATCACAAAAAATCGTCACAAAGCAGTGTCTGCGATGGTTTCAGATATTATCACGGACCGAGCGTCACAGATTAAGCTGCGTGACAGTTAATGAAAAACCATCACAGATAAACGCAATCAGTGGCGGTTCTAGATCATCATAGAATAGCCCGAGGCCCGGTTAGCCCAACCCATGCCTAATGCCTATGATAGAAAATAACCGTCATTGATGAATTGCCACATCATTATAGATGCTTACGTGGATGCTTACATGAATAGTGACATGGATGCTTACATCACCATCTCGGCCCATTTGTTTATAATAAGTAGGCTGACATTAGTAAGTTGGGCCAAATGTTTTTTGGGCCCATTTATTATTTTTATCTAATCCAATATTAGTTATGGCCCATTAAATTTAGACCATTTATAGCTTACGGTCACCATTAAATTTGGCCCATTTTTAGCTTTCTGTCATCCCAATTAACAGCACAGCCAGTATATATCACTAACCACATCCAAATCGACAGCCAGCCGCGGTTAAAAAATCACATGTCCAAAGTCATTCAGAGTTACCTAATCACAAGAAAAATCGAAAAAAAAACCATTTCATCTTAAATTAGCAAGGAAACTTGAATAAGATTGGTATACACCAATGCTAACTAAATACAGAAGAACTAAGGTTAATCAAGATATGAATGTCATTGTGACTAACCCTTTAGTGACTGTTTGGGCAACATGTCTCTTGACACTGTTAGTGTGCAGGTGTGGAGCATTGATACGGTTGACGGCAATGAAGAAGGTCAAGTAGAGAGGTGTCGTGCCGATGAACCGGGAGTGGTGAAGGACAGATGTGAGGCTTGGACCGAGGGACCAAGGAGGCCGGAAGACTGACCGTGGGTGGTTGACACTTGGGGACATCGACGAGCAAGAGTACATGTGGAGGAGTAGACTATGCTGATCAAGTCAAGACAAAGGTTTACCAAGTCAAACGGAGGCGCAAGAGGACTTGGAGATCGGGTGGTGGATGACAATGGTGACACATGTCGAGATCGTGGAGGAGGCATAGTGGAGGAGGTGGCACGTGGCATCATCGTGAAGCTTGCGTCGAGGCAAAGCAAAGTTGTGAAGGGCTCGTGGCTGTCGGATGCTCAGATCTCAAGCCAAACCATTTTTACCTATGGGTTAAGTGGTTTATCTAAAATATCTAGGGATGTGTTTGAGAATATGTAATAGGTCTATAAATAAGATAGGTGGCTGCTCGAACTAGTCATCTCTTTAGTTTTCATTTTCTTAGCCTAAGACTCTAGTTTTCCTAAGTGTTTTCCTGCTGTTGAGATCTGTAGCGTAGAGAGTGATTCCTCTGTTGTGCTTAATCTTTCCTTTGTGAGAACTAGACTTGGTTGATCTTCAGCAACATCAGCCTTTTCCCATCCCTCATTACGATGGTCTGAAGGTGTAGTTTGGGTCTTAAATGTGCAACAAGTCAAACATTGCATGAAACTCTTTTGCTGTACTAAGCATCAGATAAGAGTTCCAGCAAGTGCAAACATCAAGGCAAGCCTTTTCTCACACGATATGCTTAGTTGTGCAACAATTTCTTTAAATTTTTTCTCTTGTTGGAGAGCTTCGAATATATTTCACAATGTCACATATTTTGTCAATCATTGGGCTAAGAAACTCCAATCCCGCTTAACATATCAGATTTATAACATAAGCAGCACAACGTTGGTGGAACAACCTACCACTGGAAAATTATCTTCTTAGTTAGCAAACGGGTCTTCAACATTTTCACCATTGCACCATTGTTGTTTGCATTATCTAGAGTCACTGCAAAAAGCTTACTTCCATCCCTACTTGATCATGGCGTTGAACATTGCAATGCCTGTATGGTGTCTCCATAGCTGTGAACTTCACTATTCTTTTTTATTGCTACCACTTCTTATCGATAAAGTGGATTGTAATGACGATGTACCGCACCATTAAATTTGATGGCCACATAATCACTAGTCAAAGAAACCTTGGAGCTAGTGTTTTTGAGAAGGACAACTCATGCAACGGCTGGAGACCCTCGGCGGTGTGACGGAGAGGGAGAACAAGAATCCAGCTAAGCTGCGCAAGCTGATACGTAGCGCCCACACTCGCTGCAGGGACGTTAGCGAAAGGTACGTCAGTTCGATATCCGTACGGAGGGGCAGGAATATCATATAGGAGTACCAGGAGCAC